CTGAGCTGCCACTAAGAGGCTCTCCGTCTCACCCTTGAGTCCAGCGCTTCTCAGCCATGCGAAGGTTTTCTCCTTATCTGTCCAGCTGTTCTGCAGACTTCGGAGGAACTGTCCATGGAGAGGCTTTGAAACGACTCTCTCGAGTCTTTCCCGGAAGATTGCTGATCTTAGTCTTCCTTTGCTGTTTTGGCGACTTATGGACTCAGGCTCGAAATATTTGGTCTTTATTTCGTTTGCTTGCTTTGTGTCCTTATTATTATTATTATTGTTAATAATAATAATATTTATTGAAATAGTAAAATTACAAAATAAAAACTCAATACAATAATATAAATATCATAACTCAAAAAAGTCAACTGCTTCAAAGGACTATTGACCATCATTCGCGGTGTAACAGTTTTTGACTATTTACTCATAACCAGTTAAGGAGTAAACTAGCGCCTATTTTATCATAGGAAACAGGTGATGTGCATAATCCTCTAACCATATTTGATTATGACTGGATGATTTGGATGAGGCGATATGGATTAAATGTAAGCAATTTGAAAATAATATAGAAAAATCTTATGTCCATCGAATAAAGAAGAAAGACGAATAAATTATTAAAAAAGAATCTAAGTATGAATTCAATAAAGAGGACTCTGTTGCTGATGTTGACAAAAAAAATAATGATAAAGAAGAAAATGATGAAGATACCTATGAAAAGAATTCAAGTATTTCAACAAGCAACAGCTTTGACTATAATTTATCTCAATTCAAAGATGATAAATTGTAGTCAAAGCTGCTGCTAGTTGAAGATAAAGAAAATATACTTATGTTATGTTTTTAAACACTCAAAAGGAAAATTTAATCTGAGGAAGATGAACTTTAAAAAGTTAAACTTGATATTTAGAAGAGTTTACGAAGGCAACGGAGATAGTTCTCTTTAGTAAAGAAGAGTTTTGCATTGTTGATTGTAAGTTGAAGGAATATAATGCAAAATTTTCAGGTAGTTTCACCTTCATTTTCGATAATTAGATCCAGTTGAGTTTTGGATTATAGAGAAATTTGTCGAAATAGTTCAAAAATATTTTTTTATCAAAAGTGCATGCATTTTCATAGAAAATTTGCACAATTTTGTTTTTCACCATTCAAATTTATTTTCAAATGAGAAAGTAAATAGTCAATTAAATATCAATACAGAAACAAACAGTATTTATTTAAATTTAAAAAATATACAATAATTTTTACAAACAACACACACAAACTTCCAATCAAAATGGAAATTAAAATATAAACACATTATATACAAATATTGCTATTTTGCAATCATAAAGTCATCAGGAAGCTGTAAATTAGTTACTAAGTTCTTATTTTGCTTACCAAGCTTTGTTAAGCAATTTTTTATTTCTTTCAATTTCTCATAAAAAAACATCCAATATTTGAGCAATTTATTCAAAAGAATTCATTAAATCTTTAACCATCTTCTCGTTCTGACTAGTAGAGTAATTAATGGAAATATTCATCATACCCACATTTTTGAAAATCATATTGTTACTCGTGTACTTCTTCTGATATGTAGTGCAATGTTTGTCAATATCTGCCTTCAAACAGTTAATTTTCCACATTATATCGAACAAAGGATCTTCATCCTCTTCATGGTGTGACGCTTTAATCATTAAAATTTTCTTAATAAGATCACATCTATTCGCATAGCTATCAATGAATTTTAGTAATTCCGCCTCCATAAGCACTACGATCATCCTTCGATTCAATCGAAGAATCTAATCGTATTCTGATTTACCGTCAAGGTTTGACTCAAATAGAGTGTTGATTTCTCGACTTCTTTTCACGATCATGTTGGTTTGGATAATAGTAGACATTCTAGAGAAAATCTTTCTTCTGGAATAAATGAGGCTTGAACTTATTAATTATATAGGATGTAACGTTAAAATGTTGGTACCGTATGTATAATGTTGATTCCGCGATCGCGGGGAGTGCAGATCGAATCTTTGACTGACCTCGAGTTATTGATCTCCTCAAAAGCAAGTGGCGTCCAGAACCTTCCCACATCAGGGACTCATGGCCAGTCGGAAGTAAAAGATTATTTTGTTACTAAGAAAAGTCACCATGCGCTACATTTCTGAGAATCTAAATTATCACTTTAATCTAACTATTCTATTATCCAGAAATAAATAAATTTAGGAATTACTGAATTATATACACGGTTTGCTGGGGAGAATATTCATCTCAGATCTCTTTCCAATGGACGATTACCCGTTGGGAATTCGGTGCTAAACCAAATGGTTTGGAATTATCGGAAGCAATGTATGTGTTGACTTGACAATTGTACATTTCTTTATAGCCATATATATTTGAACACATTTGCTGTGAATAAAAATGTCATTAATAAAGTCCAATTCAATATGTAAAATAGAATACTTACTTGAGTCAAAGGACTGGTGTTGGTAGTTAAAATTCCCTTGAATTTCTTATTTTTGGCTAAAATATGCACTTGATCTTCCATATATTTTATCAGGGCGACGTTTTCTTGTGACGAAAGTGACAAGCTGGTGGTCATTATGAACGAATGGAAGACGTTCCCCTTTCCAGACGGCAATCGATTATTCCTGATGGGACCTTCGATGGTCTCCAAGAATTCGAAAATCACGACCAGTTTCGAGGTTATTTCCACTTTTGGTTCATCGCGCGCATCGAAGTTCAAACTGACACCGATGACATTCCCCGTTTTAGTAGAAATAACCACGAAACTGAGATCCTTTTCGACCAACGGCGCCCAAAACTTGCCCATCAACTCTAAGTATTCGAACTCGTATGTATCTGACTTAAGCCACTGCTCAAGATCGCCCTTTTGGTAAAAACTGGTGGAAACTATGCTAAAAATTATCAATGAATTAAATTAATATATTTGTATTAAGTATTTCATATAATTACTTCAAGACATCGTCTTTCATCCCATCATGCAAAAATTCCATCCTAAAGTTTGGAGGCTGTGTTGTCGTTAGTGTCTTATCTTTGGATTGGTGCATCCTCTCCAAGACCTCGCCTAAGTCCATAGCGGCAATAAAATCACTAATGCTGTTCCGCGCGGTCCACCATCAGCATTAACGTCAACTTCTACGAAATCGGAGGCAACTCTTTAAACTCGATCTTCACAATTACTTGCCTCAACGAAGCTTCCTATTACAT